CCCAGCCGCAGGATGAGCGGCCGGAGAATGAGACCTCCCAGGGCCTGAGGGTGTTTGACCCTGCGTACATGAACACCGCCGTCATCCAGAGCAAGATCACCTACATCAATGGCCAGGATGGCATCCTGCGGTACCGCGGCTACCCCATCCAGGATCTCGTCCACAAGAGTAACTTCCTCGAGACTGCATACCTCCTCATCTACGGGGAGCTGCCCACCAGCGCCCAGTCCTCCACCTGGGAGAGCGAGATCATGCACCACACCTACATCCACAGCGACATCGAGGGCATGTTCAAGTCATTCCGCTACGACTCTCACCCCATGTCCATGTTGACGTCTGCTTTCGCTACCCTGGGCGCCTTTGCCCCAGAGGCAAACCCGTCGCTCCAGGGCCAGAAGCTCTTCACCAAGGCCGCATCCGGGGATCTCGAGGCTCTGCAGAGCCTGGACAAGCAGATTCTCCGCATCATCGGAAAGGCGCCCACTCTCGCCGCTGCATCATACCGCATGCGACAAGGCCGTCCCTTCAACCGCCCGGCTCAGGGGCTGTCCTACACGGGCAATTTCCTCTACCTCCTGGACCATCTCTCTGGCCACGAGTACAAGCCGCACCCCGTCCTGGAGAAGGCGCTGGATGCCCTCTTCATCATCCACGCCGACCACGAGGTCAACTGCTCCACCGCCACGGTCCTGCAGGTCGGCAGCTCCCTGGTAGACCCATACAGCGTCATGGCCGCCGGCTGCAGCGCCCTCTACGGCCCGTCCCACGGCGGCGCGAGCGAGAGCGCCATCCGCATGCTCATGGAGATCGGGTCCCCCGAGAACGTGCCCGCGTTCATGCAGAAGGTGGAGAAGAGGGAGCGCGTCCTCGTCGGGTTCGGCCACCGGGTCTACAAGAACGTTGACCCGCGGTCCACGGCCATCCGGGAGCTCGCGGAGGAGGTGTTCAAGGTCACGGGCCGCAACAACCTGCTCGACACGGCTCTGACCCTGGCGCAGTACGCGCGGGAGAGCGAGTTTATGCGCAGTCGTAACCTGTACCCCAATGTGGATTTCTACTCGGGGCTGATCTACCAGGCTATGGGATTCCCGCTTGAGTAAGTTTTTTTTTCTGCATTTTAGGTGTCCTATACTCATCAAGGGATTTATTTGTCTAACCGCTCCCTGTATAGTTTCTACCCGGTTCTCTTCGCTGTCCCTCGCTGTGTGGGATGGTTGGCCCACTGGAGACAGCAGATGCTGACACCTTCCGGTGTCAAGATCTGGAGACCAAGGCAGTTATACCTGGGCCACGGAGAGAGAGAGTACGTCGAGGTGGAGAAGAGGAAGGAGAAGCCTGATGCAGCCATCTTTGACGCCCCCGTCGAGGTCGAACACGGCGGAGACAGCAAGAGGAACAATCTGGCGACGTACAGAGACGAGAGGGGATCCATTGCTAAGGCCAAGCTGTGATTTTCGATTTCCAGATGGTGGGCTGGTGTTTTGATATAGTTGATGAGGATATTCATGTACCCTGTGTGTTGTCGACGAATGATTGTTATATGGCGTATTGATAAGGATAGTTATCACAATAGACTGAATGGATATTTCTTTCACCGTTTCCCCCATAATTATTCCGACCATAGGTCGTCCAATACTCCGATTGCTAGTTTTCTCTTCTAGGCACCCTTTTCTGATGAAACAGCCCATTTCGAAATGCAGATATACTCATTCTTCATGGAGCTCCTATACAGAGCCTGAACGGTCGAATTTTGGTTTATGTTTCGGATGCTTTGATAGATAAAGCAGGGCGTTAGAGGGGCAATGCTGTTAAAACTCCCTACCGCCAAATCTCTCATCCCTAGGTCAAGCAGCAGCGTTAAGTCTTTAAAGGCAGTTAAGAATAAAGCCCAAATGTTGATAACAAGAGCCACGGATAAAATGCCAACTATGGGATAAGCTTTCTGTGGCAATTGAGGGCTTGTACGTTAACATCTGTCGGAGCCCGAACGGCCAACTAGAAGAAACAGAGCAGGCATAGGGACAATGTGGGCTTTTAGGATGAGAGGGCGCGGACGTAATGGTAAATAGCATAGAGTTCTCCCTGCGAAGGGCATGGAGCAGGGACTCTTGGCCATATCATCAATATGTGGTCAAACATCTCGATATCGGAGGCAGAGAGCCCCTGGTATGATAGCGACCTAGGGGAAAGTGCCACAGGGTTTGCAGTTGAGTCTTCATCCGAAATATGGCTACGAGAGTGGATACTTATAGAGGAGAGTACCGGTTAGCTATTCCTACCTGTAATCCAGTAGAAGAAGGTGGCCGCAAACATACTGGTAGTTGGATCAATCTCCACAACTGTTCCGGCTCCCTCTGTTCCTATAAGAGCTTGTTGATACTAGGAGAAATAATAACAGTACCGTTAGTATAATGGCGCATAATGGAAAGAAGGTAGCACGCACGGCCGGTGCAGTCAACTCGGAGCTATATAATGAGAGGGCTTCCTCATTTGATTTGGTATAGTTCCGACATGGAGTTTCATCGCCTTGTTTTTGTTAGCTATAGAAATATCAGACAAGAGAAGTAACGTCAAAACCAGCAGATGGGATGCGTATGGTGGTAAACTTGGGTTCATCAACCATTCTTGACATGAATATGGGGAACTTTTGAAATTAGTATACGGTCGTTGAGGAAGAAGCGAGGGGAGAATGGGTACCCAAAGGTCATCACTACAATTAGAGGCCAGCGCTGTAGCCCTTCCCATAACTTACTTTGAATGAAAGCTATTCGAGGAATATCTAGTCTGTGGTGTATAAAGGACGATGCATGAGGACTCTTTTGCAGTGGATAAATAGATAGGTGTAGCTATACTCCAAACAAAACCTGAGTCAGAACATACGTTCAAGTATATGAGATGGATTTTATCTTAAGAGGCCTATCTAGCCATAAACAAAGGCTCGTTAATGAAGTTTAAAATCAACTATTCTTCAGGGAGAGCTTGTGTAGTTATTGATATGTAGGCGTTTCGAACAGTACATCGTCAAGAATTCACCGCCAAGTGTGAATAGAAATACATCGTTCAGTTGAGATAATGCAAGTCTTTTATTTAACACATTTCCTAGATTCGTTTTCATTCAAATATAAATCATTAAATATAATTGTTTTTTAGAGATGCCACCCTTAGGAATAATTACACATACATCTTCATGAAACAACTAACTCACCCTGATGCATTAATATACGAAAGCACTAATGTGAATATTACTTTATGAACCAAGTATGAGCTGATTAGAGAGAGATGTAACGTAGGTTTCTAGTTACACGACTAACGGCTCATAAATGAAGCAACTACTACACGAGGACGTGTTCACGCGGTTGTGTTATTTGTGTAGTTGACGCGCGTGGTTCCCCGGGAGTGTAGTACACAGATCAGTTCATCTACCATTCACTTGCTCTAGAGACACCCCAGCAACCGAGCTTTTCACTCTTACACAGAAGCAGTTCAACCCAAACCTGCATTCTCAACAACGCAGAACCTCGCTTTCCACACAGCTGTCCTCTGAGTTCTCCCTCTGCTTGGAAGATATCACCATCTATTTTCTCACTCCGCCAACGTTTATTGCTTGATCCCTAAGTCAAAAAGATTCTCTAGACTTAATCGACAGCAGACTTCAAGAAAAAAGCCAGCCATGGAGCCAAAAACTCCTTTGACTTTCAGTTCCCTTCCCACAGAGCTAAGACTCAAGATCTGGGCTGAGTGTATTGAGAACGTCGATGGCCTCTCCGAGGCACACTTCTTTCGAATCGGCGGAGGTCTACGGGAACGAAAAGTAGCTACAGCCCCCCAGCCTAGCTCAACCACCAAGGAGAACATCGATAACAACAGAGACATGTGCTCAGTTCATCCCCCCTCTTGGGACCCAATGGAAGCCATGTGCAACTCATGGGTGGCCACCGAGAATCCCTCTTGCTACGTCGCTAATGCCGGATTGTGGAACACCTCGTTCGAATCCCGAGAAGTGCTGGAGAAGCACTACATCCGAACCAACCCGGGCTTTCATCCCGCCCAGCTCGACCATTTCGAGATGATGGGAGACTCCTCCTTCTCAAGTCTGCTCGTGGACTTCGTCAATGATCTGCATTGCTTCCAGGTCCACGGCGTAGATGCGAACACGACTATGGCCATCACCGGACGGAACATGGTCCCACGAAACATTGCGTTCGAGTACAAGGCAGAATGGGGCCAACCTAGATTCCTTGAATCCATAACCAGCTTTTTCCAGTCCCAGGGACACTACATCGATGTCGGTTACAGCCACCGGAACCCGCTCGAGGAAATCATGTCGCTGATCAGCAGGGACAAGTGGTCCATGACACCGGGCCAGCGTATCTGGTTCATCGACTACAACGTCAAGGCCACCCGGAAGCTCAAGCCCGAGGACGTCTTCGGCAGCCGCATGTTCCACGCCAGCAACCGCAAGTTCGTCGAGGTCGGGCGCTGCCAGTGCCTGGTCTCTCGCTACCGATACCCCTCGGCCAGCGCCAGGGACGAATTCGTCGAGTCCTTTCGACGGGCTTTCCTCGACCAGGAGTTCACTCTTGAGAACCAGCTCCCGAATCCGATTGTGGGAGTCTTGGCTTGCCTGCCTGATTCCGATTTTGTCTAGTGCTTCGACACTTGGTAATTGTCGCCCTACTTTGTCGGTGGTAAAGAAGTATACGCGCGCGCACTGGATCGAATATGCCCGTTTTGAAGACTGAACCAAACTCACATACCGGGATCGACTGAATCTGGCGGAGGAGTAGTTACATTGTAAATGGCTGGGTGAAATTTGCTTCTGGAGTTCAGGAGAAAGTAGGATAGTGGATGGACGGATGAAAATTGACCGAGATTGACATCAGCGGGTTTTGTCAGATATATAGCAGTTCAGAATTTCGATCTTAAGTTTTTCGATAGGTTGACTACCAGGTAGCTAATTCCCAACCAAACTCCCCAACTGCATGTCTATCATCTTGCAACTATGCCATTTGCCCTGGCCTCATCAAGGGGCTGATTGTAGACGGCCAGCTTCTCCTTGTAGATATGGGCAAGTTGGTCATCTCGCTTCCCGGGGCAACGTCACCGCCTCCAGCAAAGACTCGGACGAAGCGTAGTATGTCACATTTGCCACATTGGTAGTAGAGGCTGTTTATGGTTCCACGTCAATCGCTTGCCCGGTACCTTTCTTGTATTTCTGACGACGACGAGAAAGTAAAAACGTACTCCTTCTTGAAGTTGTTGTCGATCTTCCTCTTGGTGCTCGCAGTGAGGCGGGTCTGGGCACGATAGTTGTTGTAGGCAAAACCATGTCGGTTACACGCGGGAGTAAGAGGGAATCCGAGCGGGCTGTCGGGAGAGGAGGTGCACCCGTCAGAGGCCCAATCGGAGGTATTGAGATCGAGCGCGTTTCGGCGGGTTGTGAAGGTTGGAAGCGTGATGCTGAAAAGGATCTCGTCGGTGATGGTCTCGAGCCTCTGGTGCGCCTCGATGGCTGGGGCGACAGTGGCGGCGGCGACAGAAATGACTGAGAGGCAGGTAGTAGCGAACTTCATCTTGGAAGCAATCGAATATTCGAGAGAGTGTCATGGTGACGGCAGGATGAGGATGAGGGGATGGCTTCAGTGCGGCGCCGACCCAGGACAGTCTTATATAAATCGAGGCACATCTCTTGGCCAGAATGCCCATCAGCGCCTGTTGGATGTGGGAATGCGTAGCGACTTACCACTCGGTTCTCGCATAATGGCAGTTCACTTTGGTAGATGGGACGCGGCCTAGAACCAAAAAGATGCATCGAGGAATGGAGATGCTTGCTCAGGGGCAGCTACCAGGAGTAAGAGAATGCGGTATATGTGAGCTCGTATATGCACATTAGCTGCACTGATTGGGGAAACATTGCGGCGCAATAGTCGTCCTTCCTAACAGCTAATTCGGCAGGCTGCCCCGAGGTAGAATGGAAGTGGCCGGCCGGTCTTCTCTTCGTCTCGGGCCAGGTAGGCTGGTTCTATGCATCTTTTGGCAGGCTGTCGAGATGGTTGACTTATGCAACCTGGGAAATAGGGGTTAGCAGCACCACAGAGGAGAAGTCCTCTTAGAGTTGCATTCCGAGACCTAGATAACATTTGTATTGTCCGGAGTCGTACTGAGACAGCCAAGTTGACTCACAAATACTTCCAAGACATGGCCAGCCACGTGCCTGGCAGCTCGATCGGTGTGGTTGCATTTGTGGCGAGTCGCTTACCTATATTGTAAGACACAATTGCTGCCTCGCTGGACGTATATTTCCCCTACACAAGCGACTCCTGGACCGTGAACTTAGGAAAGCTGCAGAGGAATTGGGCGCAGTTTTGAGCCGGTCTGACGTCGGTAGAGATGATATAACTAATTGGCCAACAAAGATCTTTTCGTCTAATCTAGGTTGATTTGGTTAAAGCCTTTTTGGGTTATTGGAATACTTCGTCCAAAGGCTGACCCATTGCTACCAAGAGTTCTCATTGTCTCTGGCCAGATGGATGCACCCACAGCACCCTGGGCTTAAGACTGTCATCGATCGAAGGATATTCTATAGACATTTCGCTCAGGATGTCAATGAAGAAATAGAATTCCAAGTTTATCTATCTGTTAATCCCAGGATGCGGGTCCAAGAATGATGACGAGCCGCTGAAAATGGGCAGACGATCTGGAGGTGGTGGACATTCTTGCCATGTTCGATATATCACACCCTTCTGGCTTGGATGTGCGGCGCTGATGCAAGCGGCTATCTACAGTTTATAGCACACTGCATGCCGATCTTCTAACAAAGCAGATCATTTTTGGTCTTCGCCGTTGCAGAGGATAACTAACAACAAGTCCCAGAACAGATAAGTGATCTACCTAAGCCACAGCAAGGATCTTTCCAAACCTACTATGGCATGAGTTGTATGCACACACCTTTCTAGTTGTTGGTTGTGAGGAGCTATGGCGACTGCAACTACTGACCACTCCCTTTTTCGATAATGCATCACAATAGAGGTCGGTGATCGCCACGTCGACACCAGTCAAGACGGAGAATTACAACCAAACTACATACTCAAAACCAACAACCACAAGTAAACACCGTGTGTCTAGTATTTGATTAGGACCTCCTGCATTTAATCGGTTGGTTATGGCCACCTGGGTCTTTCTACAAGCCAGATTAACCGCAGAATTACTAGTCAAATTTCATGATGTTATAAATAGAGTAGGGTAAAAGTCAAAGACAAGAATTGTTGGATTTCGAAAAGTCTGGGCAGCCAAGTTGAATTTTCTACACAAAGATTATTTGTTGAGGGAGGCTTCTCACGCTCTCAATACTCTCAATAGAGGGGGCGCAAATGATTATCCGAGAAGAAATGGCTACGATGGAGCCCTTGCAGTTTGATAAAGATACCCGGGGGTATTTGGATTCCATGGTTGACAATGCTGATTGTGAAAAGTAAGGCTAAGAATGGGAAGCTGTAAGTTTCAGCGGTTTGGCACGCCCTCGTTGTCGTCCTTCTCTACAACTCTCATAACAGATTTTCGATTAAGGCCATGGTCAAATGCACAGCTCGACGATCAAAGCTACTTGGCGAAGAAACAAGAAAGCTCGGTTCTCCACCAACTTTATTCACGGGATCTTATCCCACGCTTGGTTACTCGTTACATCTGATGCTACAGGGGATGGCTTAGGGCTGAGCCTAGCTAGAGCAACCGTAATCAGAGACACAAGCAAGGATGAGAACTGGCTCCGATCCAGCTTTTTTGACTCATCTCGCGCACAACGGCAACATGGGGAGGACGACACGTTCTCCTCCTCCTGGAGAGGGATGTGGCGGCACTCCTTGCCCAAAAGTACCAATAGCATAAGCGGCGGGGCACGCTTACAGTAAAATTTCATTTACGTTCACCCCGGCGCGAGGATGATGCCTTGGCATTAGGCCTAAGCGAGCTGCTTTTGGTTTCAAACGCGCGGGCCATGTGTGTGAGCCATTGACGTGACTAGCATGGTACAGTTCAGCCAACATATGCCGTGTGTGAAGTTAAAGCGAGATACTGTGTCCTATGTTTAACCTGTTTCCTCCCTGAAACAGTCCTTTAGAAGATGGAGCTGATGCGTTTGAGCCACTCAACGTATGGGGATAACAGACAATGCCCGAGCTCCTCCATCGGAACCGCCTCACGCTCCTCGACCACCGCCACAGATGATTTGGGACGGGGATCTTGGCTAGCAGAAAATGCAAACAGCATGAAGCAAGAGTCAGACAATATCAGCAATCAAACTCGGGCAAAGCCGCTGCATCCTAGGGTAGGACCCATTAATAGCTTCGATGACAACGGTTGCGAGGTGGGAGAAACAAAGAGTAGCACCCTTTCTGGCCGCAAATCGTCAATTTCAGAGCATCACATGTCTGCCGCTGTCAACTAGAGCGATTCTCCCAAGTCCAAACTTGGTAAAGGTTTGCTTCCGAGCCGCCATCCATCGCGATAATAACCCGAGACTCAATATTGGCACGTTCCTCGCTACGGTTCCTTGAACCTCGCTGGAGCGGCCGGAAAGCACCGGATGCTATACTTCATATTTTGAAAGCCTCTTTTATTCATCTCTTATAAGATATCTTGCTATCCGGGCTGCTCAGGCATATATCAGGGGAACACTCACTCGTCGTATACACTAGTGAACAAGGCCTTGGTGAACACAAATCGGCAGATTGGCCATACAACAATCGTTGCCCGGCAGGTGAGGCCCTTGCCATCCTTCGTGGTCCGAGGTTTCTCTGTTAGAGTCACCGTGCCACCCTATCTGCCTGCAACTCACCTCCTTAGGTCAATACTAAGGCATCGTGGCAGCACATGATTTAGTTGGTGACACGCAACAGATCTCAAGTACCGCTATGGCACCTACCTTCACTGAACGCGGTGCAGATAGATCAATATCACCGTGAATACTCGTTTGATGCAATGCTTAAAGACCCATATTTCTATAAAAAAAATATAAGCCTTTAGCCAATCGAGGACCTTTCTTGCAGCTATTATGTTGTTGTTCTATTCTTATGATTTTAGTATCAGGATGACAGGTACAAGTTTCACTATATAACTTGCATGCGTTCAGATACGTTTGGATGCGCTTATATGCGTTTAGGTGCGTCTAGATGCGTCGACGGTTGGCAAAGCTCGACGACGATGGTGATCAAAGCTCGACGACGGTGACATTCCATCGTCGCCGCCAAGGAAGGAGTCTTGAACTACGGCCATTGAGTAGCGTGCATGTGATGACCCGATTTTTGTTCTTTTTGTGATCGATCTCAATAAGGTTCATCCCAAGGCTAATTTCGTGCAAGGGATACACTTAGCCACCCACCACATTCTCTTCTCCTGGACCACCCACCCATGGTAACCAGGATGAAAAGAGGGCCTCTATTGATCTTTTCACAATAGGAAACTGACGGTCCAGGCCTGGATATCGCAAGGGATGTCTCGGGTACGCAGCCATCGCTTGGCGGAAGACAGAGAGGTCGGGCTCCTTTTTACCGTGGACAGGTACTGGGTCAGCTCTCTACGAATTGACCGTCTTGCAGGATGCCTGCCAGGCTCGCCTTACAGCTATCTTGTAATGGCGGACGCAGTAGGTCAGCAATCTCTCGTCTCATGAGGCAGATGCGTATGCCACGTTTCTACCAGCGAGCTGTCACTACGGATGACGACTGATCGGCCTCAGAACGATGATCTCATGTGACAGTCAAGGGAGCCGACCCCTTTGTGTTCTGCCAAGACGAGTGACTGCTGGGCCCGGCTTACAGCGATCCCTCATCTTGGCAGCGGACGGGGGGCGTCAGCTCCTTAGGAATGGACTGTCGCTACGGATAACAGCCAAGTTAGGTTCATAGTAAAATCGCTCGCCATAACGGCAGGCAGAGAGAGTTTAAGCTCCTACGGACCAAATACCTCTTATATGAAAGCTGTGTCTGGCTTCTAGCTATCGCTTGTATGCGCAGCAGATGGGCAAGTAGGTTTGACTTCCTCTCTAAGCCTCATACCAGCGTCAAAGTGGATCAAGTAGTGGGTGGTTTAGAGAAATGTCCCTCACTGGAATGCAAGGGGCAGAGGGCAAGCAACGGCGATCCCTAGGTCTACCGTAAGGCTGATTCAGTGTTGCCTTATTGTCGGTCTACGGGAGAGCCCAGCGCGTTCCGTAACCTGGGACGTTCAGCGGCGTTTTGCTTCACTGGGGTGCTTACGTAGCCGCAGCTAGAGCAGGAAGAGGGCGTTCCTCGTTCCTCTGGCGCAGCACATCAGATCACACGAAGCACCCGTACACGCTGCCATTAGACCTAGACTGGACGATTGCCTCCATAAAGCAGTCAAGGCTCGAAGAAAGAGGACGCAAGGTACTCTTCCACGGAGAAGACCGACGTCTCCATGTTTGTATTTTGAACGCGGCGGGGTCCGTCCCTCAAGGGAGCAAAGGGTGACTGTACTCTAACGTGTCTTGCTCGGAGATATCTAACGAACAGGCCTAGGTTGGCTCACACGTAGGCAGTAGGCCAAAGCATGGAAATTAGCAGAGCCTCTGAATGCTCTTTTCAAGCCCCTGTTTGCTCTCCCCAAGCCCCTGTTTGCTCTTCCCCAGCCCCTACTCTCTTTTCCCCTGTACAACAGCTGTAACGTTAAACTAATAGAAGCATTCTAAATGCTCACCAGGCGTTCCTACCAGAGGTCTCTTTGAGCACATCTACCCGAGATTTATTCTCCATTGTGTCTTTGCTCTTCAAATCTTCCCTCTCGTAGTAGCTTGCGAAAGGCTCAGCTCTGGGAAACGAGACGGCAACTGAATGCCGTCCTATCAGCAGCCAGAACTCTGTTCCCTTACGAATACACCCAGGGACTAATACGAATCTTCACCGTAGTACATGAGATGAGTCTGCTTGGTGAACATAGGTCAACACATTCGGAAGTAAGCAGCAAAAAGAAGGATGTGACCACGGACTATCATTTTTGTACATCGATGGACCAATGAATACTCACTGAGCTGCATGGCAAGTTCACTCTGGTAGAATATAAATATGAGGTAGTTTCCCGTAAATCGTGGGTAGCCAAACAAGCGATTCCCTCAACGCAAAGAACACCCTCGAGTTTAAAATTCTTCTTCCCAGATTTCTGCTGAAGACAATTATTCCTTTTCTTAAGTTATTATCCCATATCTTCCTATCATTCCGATCCATCTTCAACACATCTTTCTGCACCACATTGAGAGGTGGAACAGCCAGTCACCTGCTTCGTCCCAAGCTTCGGAAATCAAGATCCAAGACAAACGACACACCAAGATGTCTGAAGGGGTACCATTTACAATAGATCAATATGAGGCGGCGGCCAGATTATCAAAAGACCTGATCCTCTGGGGCGAAAGGCTTTTGAACTGGCGGTCAACCGAACCCTCACTTGACCAAGCAAATGCTTTTTTGAAAAGTCACGCAGACTGTTCTGTCGCCCGGGTGATGGCGATAAGATATTCTAGCTATCAACCTGTAGCCGATATCAACCCCATCATAGATTGGGCCTGTCGTGAAATAGGACAGAACCCGGAGCCGTCCAAGTATACCGCCTGGAGACGAAATTGCGCAGAGCTTTTCAATCGAGGCAAACGCAACGGCCCGCTTGGCTTTCATGCACTTTTCTCGGGTGAGTAAATACTAACTATATGAGAAGTCTATTATGTCCAAGTATTGACCGAGACTTTGATAGGACAAGTCACAGGACATCGCTTGAACGAAGGCTACCCCGACTGGGATGAAATGCTGCCAGTTCCAAACCAGTCGGCGCCGCCAGTTCCTGTCCACCTCCTTGATCTCGATCTACACCTTTATCACCTAGGGGTCGACGTCCCAGTAGACTACGATGCGTACTGGTCATTTGCAGAAGCACTGAGCTTAACAAACATCAGGGCGCCCAACAGGATTGCTACAGGGGTGGAAATAGCCCAAGCCCACGTCGGCACGTCAAGCCAAGCTGTGGCCAGCATGTCACGTCCAAGTGCAGACAATGGTGCAGCTCCTAGTCTCGGCCCTAAGCCCTTTTCCCTGTATACGCTACCTGGTGAGCTTAGCGCTCAAGCATCAGACATTGGAAGCCATCTAGGCGCAGCAGAAAGCGGGGCTTCGGATTTTCGGCTACCTAGAGAATGGGCTCTTTTTGTGCAGACGTCTATCTATTACCTGGTAAGCTCTTTGATCCCCTAGGCAAAAGGAAAATTCTAACTCCAAAAAGCATTCTGCAGGCACACTACCGGGAGTGATGAGAAAACTAGCGCCAATGGTTTGCCATGACCGTCTAGACCGTGTCCAGTTTACGCCTGATCCGGTCCAAGTTCTCATATGTGTAAACCCTCCACAAGAGGTCTCGGAAGTCAAGATCTACTCTTCTGGCCAGTGTGAGCGTTTGAACTGGACGCATGGGGATGTGATAGTACTTTACACACCTTGCGAGGTTGAAGCATCACGTATTAAGTGCATTTCAGTGATGGTGTACAAATGGGGTGGACCACTCTCCGAATAAGTGTCGGGCTCACTTATTTACCAGCTAAAACCATCTAGATAGACGACAATGAGCAGACAAAGGCCCTCAGGGGCTGTCATATGCGCCACGTCGTACTCTTTGACCTATTGTTCCAAACTTTAATCTACATTCATTTGCTTCAAGCTCGAGATTTTGTGTCTGTGAATAACTCTGTCCACGTAGGCGCCAAAATGAATGGGTTGCCCGGTGAGGTTCTAGCTCTTTGAAGCTACTATTGTTCTTGCGTTCTATCCCTCCCCGTCCCTTTACCCCCTCTAAAGACTCATCCAGCGGATATAGAGCCCCTTTCTCTCGCATGCTTGTCTTCTGGTACAAAAAGACGCACAACGACGCCGTCACCTAGGTTCAGAAATCTCAAACTTTCCTCTTTTTCAGATGATGGTTTGTATCTTGGAACTTGCTAGATCTAATACAAATCTGACCTAGCTCATGATTACATCTGATGAGGAAAGCACATTAATGAAAGACGCCCGATATGACCACGGAGCGCCAAGCCTTTCTTATAGCTGACTTTATCAACAATAGCAAGCTATAGTATACTGCTCCCATAGAAGATTGGCGTCTCCTGGCTATTCTCCTGGCTATTCTGAGCTTCACAATGCCCGCCTCAATCTCTAGAATTCCAATGATCCACATAACAAGATCCGTGTCCCGCCCTGTTGAGCGTGATTGTTGCGTGGACCGCCCGCCTAATTTAAGCTGCAACCATCCCTGCTCTAAAGCCACGATGCATATCAGATGTTACTATACTATGAATATTGCATAGCGTCTCCTTTCTGACTCTTGGCCGCGTAAATCGGTGAAGAGTATCTAAAGTTGGAGTCTGTAAGAGACTCGGCCTCGCGTACTATAGTATACTTAGCTGTACAGAATAATAGATAAACTCAAGTTCTTACTATTAGGGCTGTGAATATTTATACGGTTTAGATCTCTTGAGGTATTGGTGATTATACCTTCGACCTGCAAGTGGGTGCGCAGGGAGCTTAGAGATATTAGAGAGATTTGCTACTACCGATGTCCAACGATATTTTGTTGTCGTCGAAGTTATGCCTAAGAAGCGTGTTGTCGAGGGCAAGGATGTTGGAGCGATGGAGTAGATGTCAAGATGCAGGCCTTTTCTTAGGTAATTGTCACATCGGCACTGCTTCCGCTGACGATGTCAGTGAACTGCCGGGGGCGGAGAATTTCGCTTCTTGTCTTAGCCCTCTTCGCTGGAGAGTCAGTGCTGGCTTGCAAAGGCTCGTAGGCGCACTGTCGCTCTCGATTCTGTGATTTTACCATGAGTGACAGATCGTTGAAAGTCAAAGTGAGGATGGGGATGGAGGTACATTTGGGCCGCCGCAGAGGTCCCACATTCTATTGGTTTTCAGCGTCCGAGCTGGCAGCAAGTGTCGTGATGTGGGAGAAGGTTTTGATTGATTGGAGGCAGAATAACTTATCATACTATCTGCTGCAATGTGGTTGGAATTAAAGAATAGCAGCCGGCTTCGCTGCTAATCCGGTTAATGTTAAAAAAGGGCAAACTTCATTATAGCCGTGGAGCTGTAATCGTACGACAGGACCCGCCGTGGTCCAGATACAGTGTATATATAGAACAAAGTGACCGCTTAGTACCTACCAACAATAACAGCAAACAAGTACCTCAACACTCTGGAATCAACATGCGTTGATAGGACTGTTATATTTAAAACTTTAGAATAAAGAAACATAAACCACTGTTTGACGGAGTTCTTGGCATCGTTAGATATTCAGCCCCAGTGCTCGCGCATTAGCAGTGACTCGAACAGCACCAAAACAACTTAATTATTCCACTCAGAACACGCTGACTAGTTACATCCTCAACCTATCCTGGAACTCTGTCCAATGTAAGTCGTCGAACGGTCTGGGGGCAACTTTTGGTTGTTCGTCTATGGTATAGTTCAAAGGGGCAAAACTTTACGAAGAGAATAGTGAATGCCACTAGTTGAGACGAGCTATTCTGTCATTACAAGCATGGATGGCCAATGAGAAAATGCATTAATGAACGTAGACAAGTTATATTACCCATCAGATAGACTATTGTGACAGGGGGTTCTCGAGGGATTAGGAGTCATACTGTGTGACAAATAAAAGCTCACGGGCCCGAATCACCAAGCTTACCAAAAAGATAGCTGAAGTATTCCACTACAGATTGATGTTTTACATTCGGGAAAAGAGAATTGTGTGTCTGCCCCGGAGCTCGCCACATTGTACCCGACCCTTGCACATGGCGTAGCGCGATTAAAAAGTCGACAGGAAAATTGCTGGCTTTAACAAGCTCTGGCGGTGCCAAAGATGGATTCCGGATAATATCTTCTGCCTGCTCCCAGGGTATCTCGTGGACGCTGACCTTTTTACCCGAGTGCGAACGGAGGAGATCTGCAACCTCGGCGATACTAATGAAATCACCACTGAAGGCCAAGAATCTGTTTTCTGAGATCTCTGGACGACAAATCGAGGCGACGAGGTACGCCGCAGTGGTCCTCATAGACGTGAAGTCCATTTTTGCATTGGCATCGCCGACTGCGTACATGTTATACTCCATGGCGTTGGGGTCTTCCCATGGACAAAGCAATATCTCTCCTGGGGCGTCGAAGCTATCGGAACAGCCTATGACAGTATACGACATTCTACCGCTCACAACCGCAGGGTGTTTCATGGCTTCATCGAGACATTTCATTTTCTGGGCCCACGTCTATCCAGAAATATTAACAACAAAGCGCGAGTTTACTCCGGCTATCGCAGGGAAGGTTCTACCCACTGGATGTATCAAGGTGGCTTCCTCTGTCCTCATTCTCAGGACGGAGTGCATACCGAATTCGCTTGGATAAAATCTTCGAACATCTGCTATAGCAGCGGCATCTTGGAGGACATTCTGCCGCGATAGCAGCTCCGCCCCGACGGCGCTCACTACCACGTCTGCGCCGCGGAAGTAGGGCGCTAGTGAATCCGCGGTCACCTTGGAAATATCTGTATCATGAACAGTTACGTTCTCCTGAGGCCCCCGATACTTGAGTTGTGAATTAGGGCGTATGAAAGCTAAGACATGAAATTGCGCCTCACGTGAAGCAAGTAATTCATGGAGAATGAAATTGCCGATTTGACCATTAGCACCGATTAAGGCAACAGTGAGAGATTGCATGTTGAAGTGCGGAAAGGGAAAGTGTGAAGATAGAATTCAGAGCAAGAATCGCCGCTCATACTCGGGATTTGTCAATACCCTGCATCATACGACCGAAGCTTTCGAGCAGCAACCTCTTTATGTGCTTGGAGGCCTCAGCAGGAACTCGGGTCCCCAGGAAAAGGCTCTGGAATGGTGCCCACTTAAGCATCCCTTTGTATGATTTTCCTCAGTCAGGCCGTGGCGCACTGTGACAGAGATTTGAAACGCTCACGATCCCAGGTGCCTGACGTTTAGCAATGGCATGAGAATTCGTCTATGCGAAATTTACCTGGTACATCCCTGTCGAAGGTGATACCATTTCTGACCTGATACACGGAGCGGAATTGGAATGGGTGGTCTGATGACTCAAGGTCAGCTGCTGGAATGCGGCTGGCGGCTACTCGAGGCGAAAAAATGCAAGCAGCTTACTTGCATTCATGACTTTTGAAGCTAGCATAGGCGCCCAGTTATTCAGGTACGTCATCCCCTTTACAGTCGCATCACAGGCTACGCATACCGGGGCGGTAGCGATCGCTGCTTGACACATGAAGGCCTAGTGACATCCACGGTATGTGATGTAGAGCCGGGTCTGAGATGCTATCTGGACTAGGACTAAGTACATGAGGCGGCCTGGGGTTGACTGGTCAGTAAGTAGTGAATCACTACTCATGATTTGTTGGACGCTTCCTAAGAATTCATAGATCCTGGTGCCGCAAATCTTGCCCATGCCAGCATGGTAATAATTTCTTACCGTTTATCCTACACAAAGAACCTTCCGACGCAATACTGTAAGCCCGTCAAACGAGGTAGCGATGGAGTCAGTCAACAATATCAAGGTACCACTAGGTGCTTCAGGCCGTCGATTGCTGCCACATGTTGTCGACGAGATAGCAGCCAAGGAGCCCGATCGAACCATTTATTCTTTTACTCGGTCTAAGGACCCAAAACATGGCTTCCAAAACGTCACCGCCCAAGAGTTAGCGCGTGCAATAAATCGCTGCGCGTGGTACATTGCCAAAGAGCTCGGAACATCTGATCAAGGCTTTCCAACTATCGCGTACATGGGGCCTCAAGATGTCGTATACGCGATCCTCATTTTAGCTTCGGTCAAAGCTGGGTACAAAACGCTTCTGTCATCCGTGCGCAACACTTCCGAAGCCCACCTCCACCTTCTGGAAAAGACGGACTGCCGGATATTTGCAAGGCCAGCGAGTTTCCCCCTGCCTGCAATTGACCAGCTCGTGGAAATTCGGCCAATGAGAATCATCAACATTCCGGAATTAGGATATTGGCTTGGTCGTAATAATGAATACGATGCCTATGGACACTTCGCTTATACCAAAACCTACGCTTCGGCACGGTTGGAACCCCTTTGCGTCTTACACACCTCTGGTTCAACAGGCATGCCAAAGCCCATCATTCACACACACGGCTGCGCTTCAGCAATAGACGCTTACTCCTCACTACCGTCTATTGGCCTGCAACCCGTCTACCCTGGCACTTGTAAGGGTCGTCGTGTGTACCTGGGATTTCCGCTCTTCCACGTCGCTGGTATAGCAAACTTCATCTCTGGCCCTCTCTTCGTCGGCTATACTGTTGTTCTTGGCCCGTATCCACCATCGCCAGAGGTCATAAACGGTATTCATGTCTTTGGAGATGTTCAAGAGGCTTGCCTGCCACCAGCAACACTGTGCGACTTGTCTGAAAACCCAGAGTATCTACGAAACCTATCTCAGCTTGATCGCGTCGTGACGGGTGGCGGTCCATTGCCTAGGCAAACTGGGGACCTCTTGGCAGCAGAAACAAACTTGTTAAATTGCATCGGGACGACGGAATGTGGTGGCTTGCCAGTGCAGGACTGCTTTGAAGATTGGCAGTATATCAAGCTAAGCCCGTGTCTTGGACAAGAGTACCGACACTTTTCAGGTGACCTGTTTGAGCAAGTTATTGTCCGAAGAGAAGACCTAGAAGCATATCAAGGAGTCTTTTCAACGTTCCCTGACCTTGAAGAATGGCATATGAAAGATTTATACTCGCCCCACCCTAGCAAGGAGGGCCTTTGGTTATATAGGGGCAGAACGGACGACATCATCACATTTTCAACAGGTGAGAAGCTGAACCCACTGGAGATGGAAGGTATAATCGAGAGTCACCCATCTGTTAAGGCTTGCCTTGTGTGCGGAGTCGGTCAGTTCCAGGCTTCGTTGCTTGTCGAAGCAGTCAGACCACCAAGGAACGACGAAGAAGAGAGACATCTTATTGATGATATTTGGCCTCAGATCCAAAAAGCCAACACTTCGAGTCCGTCCTATGCTCGTATACATCGTCATATGGTTTTGGTAGCACCACCCGAGAAGCCATTTTCTAGAGCCGGGAAGGGAACGATCAAGCGCACAACAACGATTGATTCATTCAAAGACGAGCTTAACGCACTGTACAAGACAGGTAGGGGGCAAAGTCCAAGGCAAGCCGCAGACAAGCCTCCGCCGGAAAACGAGTCCCCTCGTGCTCTGCATCACGAATTTGAGATCGAGACCATTGAAAAGCTAATTCATGATGTTCTTGCCAAATCAACGGACATCGACGTCAGCAAACTTGACCCAAATCAGGATCTCTTCAACTTGGGGTTAGACTCACTCCAAGCGACAGAGATAACTAGATGCATCAATCAATACCTATCTAGCCGGAACGCAAAGCCTGAAATCACGACTCAAACGATATACTCCAATCCAAGTTTTTCTGGCCTGTCAGAATCAATCTCATCTCATTACGGGAAGCAGCAAAGCCTGCTGCCAGCTGTAGATAAGACTAAAAAGATGGAAAAGCTATATAGAGACGTCACAAAAGAGGTATCTATCTCGAACAAGAAGTTCGAGAGTCCGGGTGCTGCAAACATGTCTATCCTTTTGACCGGAGCCACTGGACAACTCGGGTCGTATGTTCTCGACTGTCTTCAAAAGGAAACTGGGGTGTCTCATATCTACTGCCTCACTCGCGGCGCCGACGGGGCTCAACGCCAAAGCACCGGCCAAAAGTCCCGCGGTCTCGGGCAGTTGGACCCTTCGAAAATCACACATTTGACTGCCAGCCTCGCGCAGCCCTACCTCGGTCTAAAACTAGAAGATTACAACAACCTCACTGAACAGATCACTGATGTTATTCACGTTGCTTGGAAGGTTGATTTTAACCTTGCGCTAGATTCCTTCCTCGAGCATGTTGCCGGTGTGCAACGCTTGTTGGAATTCTGTTCAAACACGCGATTCGGGGCTCACCTATTCTTTGTCTCAAGCATCAGCGCCGTGGGTAGCCTGCCGGGGAACGTAGCAGAGCAGATATACAAGGAATGGCGTGCTCCTATGCCTACTGGGTACGGACAATCAAAATTCATTGCAGAAAGAATGATTGATACTATATCGGCAAGCGTCGGGATCCCAGCTACTATTTGCAGGGTTGGCCAAATCGCCGGTCCGACAAGAGTGGCTGGGATGTGGCCAAAGCGAGAATGGCTACCCTCTCTTCTTGCGACATCTAAAGAATTGGGTGTTTTGCCAGAGTCACTCGGGAACAACAATGGTTTAAACTGGATACCGGTAGACATTGTTGGCCAAATAATCTCTAATACAGTGGCCAAAACAGCTCGTCAGCAGAATGGGAGGACAAGAGTTCTTCACGTCTCTAGCCCAACTACTGTAGACTGGAGTGATCTCATATACACTATCTCTGCTCAACTCAAGCCTGAGATGAAGATTGTTACATTGCAGATGTGGGTAGACAAACTAAACGAATGCCTCAAACGCGGTGACAATGCGGCGCAAGTGCCAGCAGTGAAGCTCTATGACTTTTTTTCGGGGTTCCTTGACTCTGGACACACTGCAACTCACTTGGAGGTTGGGGGCCAGTTGAAGCCATGGGAGGATATGCTCAGCTCGAAGGCTGTGCAGAGAAGCTGGTTGCAAAATTGGATAAGGCAGTGGGGTTACTGACTAGTCTATCAATGCTTTTGGGGGTCGTTTTATTTTCACCTGTCATCTTTTCATTCTCTCCTAAGTCAAGCAAGAAACACCACGTCTCATTATTAAAAAACCCGCTTGATACTAAATCCCTCGCTTTGCGATCCTAATACGCCGCGGCAATTGTATCACTCGATCTATGAACATGTGTACATGCACAGGCAAATTATGCGTTTTCCACTTCGGGGCCCAGTAGTATATCAAGGCATCTGCAGGCATGACGGTGATTACGGTATCATACTCTCACGAAAATTTTCAATCCGGATTCGTAGATGATGCAACTTTAACAACAGTTCAGCTCTCTATTATTCCATCTTGAAAAAACCTTCTTAACTTCCTGCCATCAGTATCCTGTAACTTGTGTTGTAAGACTCGGCTGACAGAGACTCAGTCGATATGCTAGTCACACCATCTGTATCACATTATTCTGCCGTATTAATTGCAGAGGAAATTTCTAAACCGTCCTACATAGATTGGTGTTAGTGTAATACTTTCCTCGAAATTTCATGGTCTGTTTGGTATACAGTCTCCGGAAGCGACCGTCTGGGTGAGGAAAACGATGACTAGGAGTAATGGCACATACCGGTTCGCCAGTGGGCTCAAAGCTTGCCACTAGTTCTGAGAGATATGCTACTACACCGTTTTCGGAAGTTACGGGACGCTGCTGCTTGGCCTGTATTTTGTCCCGGATAGTGGCTCTTTCGGCTCGCGTGCCTCTTACATACTCTAGATATCCAGGCGCTCCCGGCGATATGACATTATCCGCAATAACAAGGGAACCGGAACGCACTAGACACAACTCTTCGCAAAGGATCAGGTCATATACGTAGGCCGACTTCTGATGGTCGAGAAAAAGAAGATCGATCTGCAGCTCAGGCTGTTCCTGACGGAGCTGTCTCAAGGAAGCGTCGCATGGGCCGATTCGGACTTCGACGAAGTCATCTAAACCAGCAATCGCCAGCAGGGAGCGGGCAACCGCCGCAAATCCCTCACTCTTTTCGAGGCTGATATAACTCTTACCCCCTGCTTTGCGCAGAGCATCACCAAACATTATGGCAGAATACCCGATATAGCCGCCTAGTTCGACCATCGTTGTCGGGCATTTCTCTGCAATTTTTCGTGACACAATGGATCCCTTAGCTTTCCCAACGTTCATTAAAAAGTTGTGGTTTCGACCGAAATCGTCGATTGCTTCTAGGATTCTCGCTGGCACTCCTATCATGCTGGGTAGGTTTGGGTGGGATTGAATACTGGCCAGGAGCTGCTGCTCTCGGCCGTCATTGCACTACACTCGGTTATTACACAAGACCAAGGATCTTCACAGATGTGGCAGTACTCACGAACACTTCCTCTTCTGGCTTGTAGAATTGAGACATGGTGTTGTCTTGTCACTGTTTTCTTTGTGTCGGAAAAGTGTGAGATATAAGTGAGTGATTCTGCTAGTATTCGAGGTTTATATTCATTCTAAACTTCAAACCTCATTGCATTTGCAATGTATCTGTGTCGATACAATTGTCTAGCTTGTACTTAGGAATGCAGAGCGCACTCTTGTGCTCAAGCTAAAGTGTCCATGACATCTAACATGCCAGCCAACGCAGGTAGATCTTAAATGATATAAGCTGATCGGTGACAATTATATCACATTCCTGCTTATTGGGGGGCGCAGTCAACCTGAGTAAGATCACGTCGCGTGTTCAAATCAGTCTGAGCAGGGCAAGAAATTGTACATGAGCGCAGCGAAAAATTCCAAATGATCGCCTCTTTTCATGCCGGCCGCACTAAGAATAGCACATGCCTCCAAGTGATTCTTTTCTAAGACAATCATTCTAATTTCGGCAGACACGGGCGATGGGACAGCTGGTTGGGTGAGTTTTGCAATAGCAAGTGGATATAGCACTTATGTCATGACTATCGAGGAATGATAACACATCAATCACCTGCCCCAGATAGCAAATCTAAGGTTAACTACATGAGAAACTACTATCATAACAAAACCCCTAAATGTCCATTCTATCAGAGGAACACATCAACCATCGCGATCCCAAGACATGATAATAATGATAGTAACCATTATTGCTTACGTATCTATATACATTAACGTCTTGCTACTCCTAGCCCAAATCATACCACGCCATAGTACTTTGTTTTCGTCCCAAACCTTCCTGCGAATATCATCCATTCTGATACGACACGTGGCTCCCGATGCTGGTGCCACAAGAGAAAACATTCGATGTGGCGATTGTTGGTGCAGGCCCAGCAGGGTGAGTTATTACCCAAGTTTCAAATTATCAATTCAGAAAAGATAATTTCTAACCCATGTCAGACTAATTGTGGCGGCCTGGATGGCGATTGCGAATGTCAAGACAATACTCATAGACAAGAACGCATCCCCTCCGCCCTATGGACATGCTGACGGTCTGGAACAACGAAGCTTTGAAATTTTAGATGCATTCCACCTCGGACATGATATCTGGCAAAGCGCTCACAAGACTATTCAAGTTGCATACTGGGTACGTTTTCTTCCTTCAGTGAGTTCGATGGGGAGAACGCTGGGCGCCAGCTTTAGCACTCCTCGGTTATGCACATGTTGTGTTGCGCTAGTCGATATGTTTACCCTCACTAACATACAAAGATAGAAAAGCATCGATCATACCCTTTCACGGCAATTCATCACTCAGAATTCCTCTCAATCTTCAGCATATAGCTCCTCCTATTGTGAGGCTACTCTAGCTCAAGGCCGTATAGAGGAGCGACTCATCGCCTTTTTAAGGCAGCATGAGAATGTAGAGATTCTTCGAAACCATTACCCAATCGACATGCATGTAAGTCATGATCTTGAATGTGATGTGAAGGCCAAGTATCCTGTTCATCTGCATATTGAGAAGATGCGAACCCATGTTGCCACACCTGAAACCGCGTTTGTAGCGAAGGGGGATCATGGAATGCACATCCGGTCTCGTTATTTGCTTGGTAGTGATGGTGCCCATAGTTGGGTCCGAAAACGCCTGGGTCTTGAAATGCAAGGCGAAGCTACCCAGGATCATTGGGGCGTCTTGGATTGCGTTCCAATTACAGATTTCCGTAAGAGAGCACTACTCGCTGCCCCATCACGCAAAGCTAATATTGCGCCAAGCGGATATACGAAAGCGCTGCATCATCCACTCGCCAGCTGGAAACGCCATGATCATCCCTCGCGAGCGACGCCTTGTTCGTTTCTATGTCGAGCTTTGCAGACGGCCAGACGAGGGCGAGAAGTATGGAGCGGAAGAAATACTTGGCAAAATCGTTGAGATGTTAAAGCCATATCATTTTTCAACGCAAATTGTGGAATGGGAAAGTACCTACTCAGTAAGTCGGGTCAGATGGAATCAGCATCAGTCGCCCTTCCAGATATGACATGGCTGACCCCCGGGCAGGTCGGGCGGAGACTCTGCATGGGCTTGTCCACACGTGATGTTGTCTTTCTAGCAGGCGACGCTATTCATACTCACTCCCCCAAAGCTGGGCAAGGGATGAACACAAGCATGCAAGACGCCTTTAATCTCGGATGGAAGTTGGCTTACGTGGTGCGAGGAATGGCTTCTTCAAAAATTCTTCACACCTACCAACAAGAACGGGCACCGATTGCTGAGCGATTACTGAAATTTGATGAAGAGATATACAATGCTATTTCGGATAAATGCCACGGTAATGATACAAGCGGACTTCTGGCCACATTGGCAAAAGAGAATACATCCGCTTCTGGACTGAGTATCGAGTATGGTAGCAACCTACTCGTCAGCGACACTCCACACCTGAGCTCGGTCTTTTTGAAGCTTGGATCAAGGTTGCCAGATTTACATGTCCTCAATCACAGTGACGGGCACACCTGGAGTGTGCACTCACTTCTAAACGTTTCAGGTTCGTGGAGCTTGTTGATTTTTGGAGCTGACCTGGCCGATAAAGGTCAAATGCAGCGTCTCCAGACATTAGCGACAAAGCTATCTATGCAGCATTCTACCATACAGCGAATTAATCGACGCAGCAAGCAACTAAGCTTTGGTGGCATTCGGCCTTATTTGATTTACTCAACGATAAAGGATGGAGTAAATTTACACAAAGTTTCGAGTCTATTTTTCCCAAACGAAGGTGCGCTTGGCTTTGCGTATGACAGGATATTTGCTGATCCTGCTGATGCCACGGTATTAAAGCAGGGGGAAATGAATCTTCACCAAACGTTGGGCATATCTCGCGCAGGCGGTATGATCCTCATCCGTCCGGATCATCACATAGCCTTTGGTGGGACACTGGAAGAAGATTTAGCGCTTGACGATTTCCTTTTAAGATTTTGGCTCCTTGAGTGAGCTGTTGATATTTGAATAGCAATACACTTTCTTTTTAAATAATGGTTGCGTTGGTAGGTAATACGCGTTAAGGTGTTACGGAAGTAACGAAACATATTAGGTGGCAAACGACGTATATAGTAGGAAGGAAGTTTTCGAATCGGGGCTTGGGACAGAGCCTTTGAGCCACCCATCCTATGGAAAGTTTGGGTCGCTTAGTCTGTCTCCCAATTGCTTTGAGCACTGACTGTCACAGGTCTGGTGGAACTGAATTGAGAACAATTATTTATGCCAAGCTGCGGAAACTGAACAACCTAAAATTCTATCGTATCGCGAAAACATTTGAAGATTGACTTGTCCCGGACTGCCACAAATATGCGGCTCACGTATTGACCAATACTAAAAGCTCTTTGTTGCCCTTGATCAACAGGGAGTAATGGAGGATGGTCGTCTACCCCTTTATGGAACGGTATGTTCAGATCGAAGCGCACAAACTCATACAATTTTCTTGTGGTCATTCCAAGATACGATGGAGTTGTTTGTCTCTCAAAAAATCCGTCGCGAACCTTAACATACGTCCGTAATAAGTCAGACGATAAACGGCACTGCCATTCGAGAAGATTGGAGTTCAGAATGGGGTGGCCTTTTGTCGTCAAAAGGGAAGGCTGATTGAGCAGAAAGACCAGACTGTCTGCAGTGACCTGTTTCATGCGCGGTTCAGAGTCAAGCCTATTGTTGCGCTTCCAGGAAGCGCAGATACAACCCCACCACGTGTCAAACGTCGCAGCAGTACCTGGACCGTCCTGCTCTAGCTCGCAAGGATTCAAATCGAGGAAACTGGATCGTGCTACTACACGAGCTTCCTCAAGGAAAATTTGATCTCTAGTTCGCAAATCAGCCGCTTGGCACAAGAGGTATATATCCGCTGCAACCATCATAGAAAGCAGTTCCACCGAGTTTCCCGTCATTCTTGCCGAAATGAGAGCAAGAGAGTTGATAGATTGGTTGTTGGATTCTGCCGTCTGCACATGACTAACAACCGAGTTGGTAAGGAAGGCCATCTCTGCGTAATAAGACGTCATATTAACATCGATGCCTTTACAAGTGAACGAGAGCGCGGGCTCGTCCGCACAAAGGTTTGGCGGAAGTCCTTGGCTCAAATCCGGGTTCACTAGCTCATTAGAGTGAGCTAGTAGCATTTTGCCCAACATACAAATTGCTGTTCTCGACTTCTCCATGGCTGAGGTGGCAGCAGCTGCTTGGAAGTTTCCCCCGTGATGGATCCGCGCGTTCGTCGAGTCGATCAATGGGTTGTCAGTTGTGGAATTCAGCTCAACTTTGAGCTGCGATTCCGCCGTGCGTATGTCCTCTATCAATGGGCCAATCCATTGGGAAGCTGTGCGGATGGAATATCGGTCCTGTGCGAGTCCTGTCTGCGGAATGTTTCCATTACCAATCAATTTTGATCCGGTCAGGAAATCGCGAATGTTGTCCGCCACCTCAATCTGCCCTTGATGAGGGCGGACTGCACCGATGAAAGGGTGGAAGTCTTCAACTTTTCCACACAACGCCTCGACTGCCATTGCAGTCAACAGTTCCGAGAGAATGACTAGGTCCTGACAATCTTGAAGCACGAGGGCCGCGAATGCAGTGCTAACCGCTGTGCCGTTCATGATGGACAAGCCCTCCTTGGTCTCAAATGAAATTGGATCCTTGCCCAACCCTTGCAAGACTTCTGAGGCTGGCACAATGTCCTGCGTACCATCTGAGCGTAGCAGCCGCACTGAGACTCCCTTGTTTCCCTCTAGCATTCCACCAAAATATGACAAAGGCGAGAGGTCGCCAGACGCCGATATACTGCCGCGGCATGGAATGAGGGGAATGGCTCCACGCGAGATCAGGTCGGCTAGGCTCTCCACGACATGGTACCTGATGGCAGAATGCCCACGCACCAGAGAATTGCATCGAATAGCAGCCGACGCGATGGTAACGTCGTCAGGGAGGACCATGGGGCCGGCGCTAGTAGCCGTCGCTCCAAAAGCAGTTTCAGGTAGGATGCCACACTGGTGATGCTGGAAGAAACTGCTTTGTAGCTTTCGGTAGTCCGTTGGCCTCGCGTCCGCATTCGCCCCGGGTGCAGTGTTCACGCCTTGAAGCCCACTCCTCAGTCAACTATGCCAGAACTGCTTGATAGTCGAACACTCACCATAGATGATATTCAGGCCAGCCATATGTTGCTGAACGACTTCTGTGCTATCACGCATGCGCTGAGCAATTTTAGTCGCTTTTGAAAGCTCGAATCCTTTCCGATGCCTGCGCGAAATGAGCATCATGATGAATATTGACATCTGACAAAGATTGGAGCTCACCGAGATATGGCAACGAGCTGAGCCATTGATAAAGACTCTCCATCAAGCTGAACACTATGTTCTGCCTGGATAAGTCGGTCGATATCCGACCATAATGCCAACTGCTGATTCAAGTGATTGCACATAGCTACGAATGGAGATAGCTATGCGTGTTTTCCAATGCTGATATGTGAATAGTGAGCGGGAAAGCAAGCCGTATATAACGATTTCCTTATGCGAACTTGGAAATTATATTCCCAGGGGCCAGCTACTAGAATATACCTATCTCCTACCATGTTAGGTATTGTAAGTTTCAAGACCCGCTAACCAGCTAAAATATGTAGGTGGTAGGTTATTGCACGCGTGACCTCCCTTAATGATGCCGCTTTCCCGCTAGAACATTCCTCCCTCAGCTCCTCTGGGGCAAATGCAAGAATTTGCCTGCCGAGAAGGACCTCATAGTCAATACTCTTTGTTCTGGATCAAAAACTCCTGGGAACTACTGATTACTACGTTGTATGCCTTGGCCGATCTGATTCTGGTCTCACATGATCGTATAACAAGCTCCAGAAGGAATCGGTGATAGCATGTAGAATGAGCTACAGTAGCCTGAACACTTTCTAATTTTCGATTCAGTTCTGAGATATGTGCTGACACCGCATTCTCGAACAGGATTTGGCAAGGTTCGGCTTGAACATCGGGTTCAAAACTCGATATTGATATATACACCCAACGGATATGAGCTCAATTAGCGGCGATGGATTATCCGACCTTGCCAGCGCTAAAAGGAGGAGAATCACTTAGGGAGATTCGTAAACTACTCGATGTGGCTTCATCGCCTTTTGCGACTGTACCCAACGGGATCAGGAGTAGTCCAATTTGGAGCTGAACTAAATTGTAAACCGATCGGCACAGAAGCTCCGGCGAAGCCACGAAGTAGCTTAGCAGACAATGGCGATAAAAGGATGGTAATCCGATCGACGGCTAGTTCGGACATTCCTACCAGTTTGACGCACATTCTTCGATGTTTAGCTGTCTTTAACACGTCATCTGCAACTGTCGATTCAGTTGATATGGCATGCAAGAGAACCTTAGCTACCGTTGAGCGACGAATGTGGAATATAAGATGTCGCCGCTCCCTCACAGCTACGCGGTGAAATGCTGTAGGACTAAATCCACACCATAGTCTATTACATCCCTTGGCTCACTAAACCAAAAGTGTCAGTCGAACGCGAAAAGAGTCACATAGAAGCCCAACCTGGCTCTTGCTCGACGCAGTCTTGGCGACGATGGAGCGCTTCTCTCCCGTGGCCCTGCCCCCTCTTCCAGAAAGCTACCTCGCTTGTGTGTTGGAGGGGCCGAAAGCGCCATGGCGTCTTGAAAGGGTTCCACTCAGACTGCCCCGCACACATGAGATCCTGATCAAAGTGGAGTGCTGCGGTCTTTGCCACACAGACCTAAGCACGCAGGCCGGCGAACTAGGACCCATGTAAGTTGAACATAATCAAGTACTAACTACGATTGACTCACAAACGTAGGGTTCAATGGCCTACGATACCGGGGCATGAAATCGTCGGGACCATTGTAGCTCTGGGACCCAATGTGACACGATTTGTTGTCGGCGACCGAGCGGGTGGTACCTGGCATGGCGGTCATGACGGGCTGTGCCGCCAGTGCTGTCAAGGATTTCCGCAAGGATGCAGCAACCAGATTATCAACGGAGTCAGCAAACAGGGCGGCCGTGAGTCAACTCCTTTCATGCGACCCCGTTGGTGCCAAGCCTCCATGTGCCGTGGCACTCAAAACGTTTCACCAAGACACAGCGGCTAAAGCTGATCTCTTCAAAGTTGGCGAATACTGCATCTTGCGCGAGGAAGCTGTAGTACGCCTATCCCGCGATGCAAAGGCTACGGATCTTGCACCGCTTCTCTGCGCCGGTGTAACGTTGTTCAACTCACTTCGCCATCACGGTATCAAGCCTGGAGAAACTGTGGTGATCCAAGGAGTTGGGGGTCTGGGCCATCTAGGCATACAGTATGCTCGAAAAATGGGTTTCCGCGTTGTGGTACTCTCGAGCACCAGCAGCAAGCATGCAGATGCCAGAGAGCTCGGAGCTCATCATTTTATCTGCTCAGAGTCGGCAGACGTCGCTGCCGAAGTGAATAAATTGGGTGGTGCGAAATTGATCATCGTCACAGCGCCCAATTCCATTGTCGAGCAATACACCAAATGCCTCCAATGGCAAGGCAAAATTGTCATTCTTGCATGTAAGCTGACACCCCTTACCTACATTTCTATATCCTGAGTACGACTGAATAAAATAGCTATCAACAATATGCACCTGGATGCAACACAGCTCCTCCGAACCTCGTCCTCTATATGTGGCTGGCACGCTGGGAGTCCCATGGATTGTGAGGAGGCAATCGAGGTCTCTCGGCTGTATGAAATACAGGCAGTGACAGAATGCTTTCCACTTAGTCGTATTCAGGAAGCTGTCGACCACCTTAGGAAAGGATTGGCGAGATATCGAGTAGTGGTGACGATGGACGAACCGCAAGCAGATCCCGATCATGACTTTTAATGTGTCCAAAGCCCATGGATATAGACTCACTTTTGCCACTGCTCGGAGATGTAATGGTAGTACCGAATGCTGGCGCTGGTATGCGGCGGCGTTGCTAGCTCAAGTGGCCATCTACGACCGTCCTTATTCGTGTTTTGCCCACGTGCTTGGAAAATAACCATTTCATTGGAAGCCCGGCACGCGTCGCGCACATTGAGACAACACTCATACCCAACACCAATAGATATGTCCCAGTCACCTAGCACACGCTCACAGTGAAATAAGAATTATACTATCGCTAAACGAGTCTGCTAAATATGCCCTAGTCATACTGCTGCCAAAACCCCTAGAGCCTTCACAGACTGCAAGAATTTGATCTTCGGTACGTCCAACGAACTTCAACCATGCTTACTTTCACCTGCTTGCCGATCTAGCTCTGCTGGAGCAGGCTGTGTAATATAGATAATAATAAGGCTATCTGGGGTACTCTTTTAACTAAAGAGTACTATTTAGTCTGAAAGGAGACTAAATAAATTTCTAGAGTAAATCTATTCTAAAGCAGTAGAAGTAGTACTCTGAATAGAAACTAGATTTTAATAAAGCTAGCCTTAAACTTTATACTAAGCTTATTAGCCTTACTAATTAGTAGAAATAGCTTACTAAGGCCTAGGAATAACTTAATATATAGCTAGCCGGGATAGTAAGTGATCTTAGGAATATAGATAAGTAATATAATAGTAAATGGTGTGGAACGTGCATACCGAACCACTGGGGCTGTCGCACTTCTGCGTCAAAAGGAGAGCGAGTATGAGGCGAGGTAATGTCATGACGGACGTCCCTACGAACTTTTAACAGAGATGGCAAGGGCTCAGCGTCCACTGTAGCAGGTAGGTAGGCGCGTTGGCGCGTCGCTGTAGCTTATCTAAGGTGGTACCTACATACCTGAATCATGGGCAATCATAGAACACCCCAATCTTGCCCTAGCATTAGTTATACCAGCACTAAAAATCCACGTAAAAATACCATATGCACGTGCATATACCTAGGTAGCCATTTCTCTTACTCTGTAAAACATTCAGCTGCCAAGTATTTCAGTCCCCTCCCGCCATGACAACAGCACTGTGGTCTGGTCCCAGCAGCGCGAACATTGGATGGCCTGCGTGGCCAGATGTCATCGAGCGTCATGGAGCAAAAAGATGGAATGAGAGTGCTAAATTATTCTCCCCATCTCAATACGTGTACTCGTTCTACCTGCTGAGTAATGTGGTACACATATGACCGTCTACCGCCGATGCCTTTGAAGACCGCCAGTGCATCATATTCCTTCCGCCGAAGCAACAAGACCAGTTCAGCCGCAACCAATATTGCCAGCTTACACGAGATACGCCCGGTGCGAAGGGGATCTCAGGGGCGAGGAGTCCTGGGGTGGCAGGGGCAGGGACAACTAAAGCAGTTGCATTGGTGGTACGGGCACGGCCTGGACCGATAATAACGTGGACCCCGGGAAAAGGTACTCCTTCTGCTGTCCCTGGGCGTTGCCAAGGGTTGACCACTAGGGTCAAAGGGCTAGGTCACCTGCCCAGCGTTATACTGAGGGAAGCCGGGCTACCTGCCCAGCGCCGTGCCCCGGAATGGGCCGGGCGACTCCCTGATGATGTCCAGAGCTAGGCAAAATTGGCCTAAGGGCCGATGAGGGCCCCCCAAATTGAGGGACCCTGCCATTAATGAAGGAATTAGCGGGACGGACCGCAGGTGGATAGATCCGGCGATCCATCGCATGCGACATGGAGACAGTGGGGGCACCTATGCCCGCAAGTGGTCAGCACATATAGCCAAGTAACTTTGCGTTGGGGGAAAGTGTACCTATAACAGTCTGTATCCAGGACATCCGAGTGCCCGATGTTTGGGGCTGGGAAGTGGTAGGGAGCCTAGTGACACTGTTTCTGTCCATGATGGAATGTGTTGGATGGAATGTTTTAAGTGAAATGTGTTGGTGGTTGTGAAGAATCGGACTAGATGGCTGTAGAGATAAGTTCAGGAAGGGAGATGGAGGGGAATTTATATCAAGATGGTTCAGACAGAATTTTATAGTGAAGTGTCTTCCAGAGGAGGCTCTCAGAAAGCATCTACCATAGACACGCACTTTTCCCCTGCCTTCGCTCGCTGCGTCTCGCTTCTCCTCTCCTCCAGCTGTCTCTCGCGACAAGAGCCGCAAAAGGCAGTCCCCGGGAACCAGAGGCTGTGGCTCCCCTGCTCTGGGCCAGTCAATTTCGTATGATGGGCAGAAACCACGGCGGGACCATAGCAAACCTCCACATAGACGAGGGTGAGGGGCGAGGCCCCTTGTGAGGACCCATTCCGAGCGGTGATACAAGTCACGGCAGCTGGTTCGTTTTTTCCACTACACACAGACGCAAGTGCAGAACTTGGGCGCTTCCATGCTCGCAATTTAATCCTCTACCGTCACCTTATACCCAGCAAAAATTGTGGCAAAACCTATGCCTAGTAAGACTGCAGAGTCGCCGCTAGCTGATCATCAGTCTCCCAGTCAAGCTCTTGGATATGGCCACAGAATCATGGCGGTTGGTAACTCAGGTACCTATGGCCCACACAACTTGGCTGCTGTGCTCGTTGAGCGGAGAAACCATGTCCAATGGGGGCTCAGACGAGTCTGCTGCTGCCTGTTGGGCTTCCCCGGCTTAGACGGCTGAACTGGTCAAAACCATCCTCAACTGGCGCTGCAGATCCGCGAGGAGAGAAAGTGCCTCTTGTGGAAGCAAACGCATCTTCGCTTGATCAAACTTTTTGGTGCAACAGCCGCTGATCTTTGATGAGCTCCCTTAGGTACGCTCCATCAACACCCGACACAGGTGTGTATGCTTACCTAGGTATGCACGCACAGGACAGTCAAAGATAACGAGGAACCCCACACGGAAAAATTCAGCACCCATCTTGGAGGAGGGCCACCCTCAATATGTTGGCTCGACTGCCAATCTCCTTCCAACCTAGCCGCGCTCTCCTACTCCAAAGCTCTACCTGCGTCTCTTAGGTGCCGACATCCTCAGGAACAACGAGGAGGACCAAGCGTTTACGCGGACAGTCGACTTAACGAACACGAGGGACGTACGAAGTGTTTGCGAGACCGTACCATCCCATTGTCATACCAAATATCCAAGACCGCCAGCCCCTTTCCAGCGCCGACAATTTCCACTCGAGGCCTACGCGCGCGCGTGCAACGACAATAACACAGCCATGGGCACCGCCGATTCCTTCCAGGGCACGCGAAGGCACAACTCATCGGCGAAACACGGTCTCAGGGGCTTTGTGGACGTGTTTTGGATGCGTCGCTCGGACTGATGGCTGCGGCTGGTAGTGTCCACAGACAATGCCTTCCCATCAGTTGGGCTCCGTCGACCTGCCTTTTTCGATACACCTGCTCCCTCTCGGGGTCAGTGCTCTGGCACTGGGCATCAGAGGTTGCCTAGCAAACGAAACTCGAGTTGATTGTCACCATCAGACGCACCCCGACAAGGCGTCATTCACATCTGGATCTCTTGGTGATGCAGTAAGTCAACCCCCGCTGCCGGCAGGCGAATCTGACCAAGTCAGAAGTGTTCAGGCCTGGGTGAGGAGACATTACTGACAATGGCCATCGACTAGACGTAGCCGGTATGTTCCCAGACCAGTCGACATCCTTAACATGTCCAAACCTGTCGACATCCCTTCCACGTCCAACCCCGTCGCCTAGACCAGTCGAGTTCCCTTCCACGTCCAACCCCGTTGTGCGAGACGCCGGTCGCAAATATCGGATCTACAATATATTTCAGTTGTGGTTGGAAACTCTGCTGGGGCAGTAGAAGGGCTGGCCGGATTGGCATGAATTGCTAGAGCGAGGCGGAGCTTCTATGGGCTCTCCAGGGGTTGCCACCTGGGATCAACCTTGTGGGCAACGTTGAGCTCAATGAGCAATGTGCCCACAACTGTCCAGATCATTCCGGTCTCGACAGCAGGTTGGAGCATGGCGGTGATTCATTCCCCTACTCGTAGTCAGGGTCAATAACGCACATACACATGATGCCCCTGACTGCCCCTGACTGCCCCTGACTGCCCCTGACTGCCCCTCCACGAGGCCCGCGATGACAAGACCTGACGTGATGACCCCCAACAAGAATCCAATTGTAGCTATTCCCAAACCATGCATGTGCATACATGGATTTCTGCGCGGCAAGAACCGTCACCCTCATAGTTTACCACAGTCCTACTCAGGCTCTGGGGGGACTTTTACCAATTGTGACAGGTAGTTGGCATACAGCCAAGGTCGTAACTTACATTATTAGCGCCTGTAGGTGGCTTGTTGATTCAGCCGGCTGGGTTCTTAGGCTCGCGATTATGCAGGGGAATCAAGGGTCCGGCTTCATCGTGCTATCAAGGGGCAAGTAGTCGGGCTGTCTGCACTCGGAGCGCGTTTTTCCGAGATGACTCACCTCCCTAGCTACTCGTAGCCTCTTTCATGGGTTCGTAATACAGTTTGCCATTAAATCCGTTGCGCCGCACCTCGTTGTCCAGCCGCTCCCGATAGGCAGTTGGATAACCCTAATGTAGCCTGTGGGATGGTGCGTGCAGCGATGCGGATAAGCCCCAATAAGCCTTGAATACCTGTATCCCATGGAGCAACCTCTGAGGCAAGCCATGAGCACAAATTGCCGCAAGCATCGTTCTTGGGATTCCAGGCGCAGTGAACTTGGGAACCGCGACATGGAAGTGCCCCGGATTAGATCTTTATTTATCAAGCAACAGGGATTGCATGCGAGTCTGCCCTTGGGGGCTGCACAGCCTTTCGTAACTCGAGCACACCTGAATGCAAATACGCCTGAGCTCAATTCGCACCAGGAGCAGGCGGTGGCTGAGCGAATTGAGGGGGATAATTGGCCGTTTCTTTGCTATCATCCAAAATATCTGACTTCAACACATGAATCTTCAACTCAATGAGACGCTACTTATCCAGCTAGTAATAGTAATCC